CGCTGGTCTCGTCCGGGCAGTTCGACAGCGCGGGCATCGGGTCGCGGCGCGCGGCCATCAACGACCGGTTCGAGCGCGTGCGCAGCCTCGCCGCCCACCGCCGCGCGCGCCTCCACGAGGCCAACACGCTGCACCAGTTCTTCCGGGACATCGCCGACGAGGAGTCCTGGATCAAGTGAGTTGTGTATATCTGTTACGGAAACACCTGATACTCAAAACTACTTTGGTCATTTGTACGGAGGAGTTATCAATTTCTGTAATAATATTAATTTTGATCGAAAGAAAAATAAAAAATAAGTTTTCTTTTTCAATAAAACAATATTTTTCATAGATTTGTTATATTAACAACTAGCTTTCCGCCAGCGACTTCGCCCGCGTGGTATTGTTTTATACATAAAAACCTTTCTTTTGACTCACCCTATCTATGAAAAAAAACCGCAACAAAATCCATTGCGTAGTTTTAAATATTTAATCATACATATGTATAGGGACAGAGAAAGTGATTTTGTTTTATATTATTTAGTGATACATTGGTCATTCTTATCACAAGTTGATGATGAATGTTACACAATTCATGCAGTAAAATTCAAATACAAAATAATGATAAATTAATGAGGCTCGTAATGAATTATACAATAATTTCGGAAGCAGTTTATGTAGATGATGTGGGAGTTTTTGGTTTTTATAAAAAATATGGTTAAATCCAGGGAGAAGAAGCTGTTGGTGGCTTCAGACGACTATGGACGTGATCTGACCGGCGTGCAGAATCTGCAGAAGAAACACAAACGGCTGGAGGCTGAGCTAGCCAGCCATGAACCTGCTATACAGGGCGTATGTGCACATGTTCCGCTTTTTTTTAGTTAGGATTTTTTTGATTTCATAACATTTATTTCATTAGAATATCAATATCTACTTTAAAAGTAAATTTTGTTGTAATATTTCCATTTAACTGCTCTGCAATAATCTTTCGTTCATAAAATTCTAACTGATCGATTTATTGATTCGAAGTTTTTACGGATATAATTTATGTAATGGAAAAAAAATTACATCTGACAGGATATTGCTAGGGATTTTGTTGCACAAACTAGTCAAAATTTAGGTTTTATTCATGCGATTTACTACGTTTACTAGAAGTTAATTTATTATATTATGATAGTATAGACTAGAGAAAACTATAATTTAATTTCTCTGATTTCATCTTTGGTTAAAAGAAACGCAAATTAAAAATAGATTTTTTAAAAGTTGTATTAATTTAGAGAGTTGTTTAACAGAATTGACTCCATTTTCTCAATTTTTAACGAAGCGTCCATGGAAATAGCCACAATGTGAATGATTGACTAGATTTTACTATTCCTATTTCTTGAAAATACAGCTTAAAAGATCACTACCATGTTATTTGTATTATTTGTATTGTATGCAGAAAAAACATAGAATTAGACTGTATTTTCTTACAGGTGCAAGAAGCAGGCGAGAAGCTAATGGATGTGTCCAATTTGGGTGTACCAGAGATAGAACAACGTCTGAAAGCTCTGGCTCTAGCGTGGGAGGAACTCCAATCGCTGGCAGCAGAACGTGGAGCCAAACTGCAGCAGTCACTCGCATACCAGCAGTTCCTTGCCAAGCTGGACGAGGAGGAAGCTTGGATCAGGTCAGTATATGATCCTTGCTATTACCGATAATTACATCTATGTACTAATGAGTACTCATTCCAAGATAAAAGAATAATAGTTGGACAAAGACAAAGCAGTTAAAAGACGTGCTTACTCTTTTCTTTCATTATCATTTGTTACTCTGTATTCACTTCTATTTGTGTGATTTTTTAGAATTTATTTTCTTTGGCTTAGTTTTTTCGACGATTCTTTTTACATAATAGTTAATAATTAAGCACACACAAATATGTAGTTTATTTTTAAATTATTGCATGCTATTTAACAGTAAAATATGAGATGCTTATATTCCTTGACGTCTTTTTTTGTAAATCATATTTTATTGCAAAAAATAATTGATTGGATTTAAGGAATGACGATCACGTATGTGGTGTTTCTCTGATCATAGATTAATCAGCCATATAAAGGGCCCAAACTTGTATTGTACAGCGAAAAGCAGCAGCTAGTGGTGGTGGGCGAGTGCGGCGACAGTATGGCGGCCGTGCAGGGGCTGCTCAAGAAGCACGAGGCGCTGGAGGCGGAACTGGCGGCGCGCGGGGAACGGGTCAACGAACTCGCCGCCGACGCGGACCGGCTGCTCGCCGCCGGGAACCTGCACGCGGATGCGCTCGCGCACCGCATGCGGCAACTGCAGGTACGCATATACTATTTTAATTATGCGCCTCGGTATATTTCGTGTTTATGAATTTAACCGATCAAGAAACCAATGTGTGATCGTCGTCTTTGCCGCCAAAACTCGTCACTACCTCGACTGTGATGGAAGTGACAGCACGCAATATTTCAGTATTAAGAATTGTATAGAGCTGTAATACGCCAAATTACCTTATTTGAATATAGGTACTAAAATGTTGGTTCCAGCAGCGACAGTAATAATTCTGAGTCTGAAATGTATAGGTATAGAAGTCATATCAAATTGTGATTAATTGATAAATTTATATTAATTGATGAATTTTGTTTTATTAAAAAAACTGTTCTACTTACTGGTGTCAGAAACTTATTTAGTTAGTACAACCGATTTATCTTAATTTGATTTTCTTTAATCTGGGGTTTTCATTTTGGTATCAGCTGATGGCAAGAAACACAGTATACTTTTATTTTGAAATTGGCTGCCCTAATCTAAATTTAAGCGAAATGATTAATTATGTAATAACAACTCTATATATATATATATATATCTTTAAAATACATTAGGATTGCCGAAGCTTGACAAATATAGCCGATGCACATAATTTAAATAGTATATGTGCAAGCACTGTTATACGGGATAGCCGAATTAAATTTCACTCGCGACGATTTATCTATTATATCTATATATGCGAGGATCAAGGGATCCTAGACGACCGCTCTGAATGGGTATTGAAATTGGACTGAACTAAATTTTAAGTACTAATAAAGAAGCTCTGTGAAGAGACTGCTGACTAAGCTTAGCAGTTACGACTTAGAGTTTGGGATAAAAATTAACGCCAATTTAATTCGCAATCCGACATTAATTACTTATTATAATTACAAAAATAAACTACAAAATCCACACTTCGATTTCACATTTCATATCACTACAACCGCTTCACGACACTTCGATTGCTCCGCTCGCCTCACTAGGTTTTGCTTTCGTTTCTAGTTCACTGAAAAAATGACAAGTTTTAGAACGTCTATCCGTCGCTTTCCTCCCAAGTGACCGGTTCGTTCACTGTCGTATACCTATGTGCCACGTAGTTTCGACGATGTTAGCGCGATTTAAATAACATGTAATGCCATCTAGTAACATGTATATAAAACATCGCGCCGCTGCGCTCCATAAAATTATGTTAGTATGCTGTTCTAGAAAAGTAAGCTATATATCATTACCACATAAATCATGGAGCTTCATAAAAACAATGTTCAGTACTACCTAAAAGGTTCCTATAGCCATTTCGTTTTTATTACGGTTATTTAAGGTAAACCTTACTATACAAAACACAGGCTAAACTGGAGAAGCTGACATCGCTGGCGGCTCGCCGTAAGGCCGCCTTGGTGGACAACTCTGCGTACTTACAACTCCTGTGGAAGGCCGACGTGGTGGAGTCCTGGATCGCGGACAAGGAGACCCACGTACGATCCGACGAGTTCGGACGGGATCTGTCCACTGTGCAGACGCTGCTCACCAAACAGGATACTTTCGACGCTGGTATGTAATTCCTTGTAACTAGACATTTTTTTTATAACTTAGTAAACATGCACACGATTTCGTGTTTCTATATTGGTGCTAGTGTCTGGCAAACACCCTTCCCTGTTAGATGTTTGGGTCTCGTAAGCACGCATTTATTGGGCTAATTTATTTATTTAAACTTTATTGCACAAATAAAAATGTACAATTGAAATTATCAATAGAATAATCTTGATTTTTTTTTAATTTAATTAAAATGCCATCCACCATGATGTGACGTCATTCGGTTATCAAACAAACAATATGTCACCATCGGCGTTGTTGATTGTGATTCTATCCATGGGTAAGCTCTTTGATAGGCAATTGTTAACTACTTAGGCACTATCTGATATTTGGTATCGGATAATCTTATGGGTTTTAAGAAAATATAAATTTGCCAAAGCTTTGCTTATAGGTCATGAAATTGTGAGGTAAAAAAAAATTGCTCAAAAGATAAAGCGATTTTGTTATTGAATAACACTGCAAAATTGTGTTATTGCACTGGTTGCGAAACCAAAAGTGTATTAAGATATTTCGACATTTTCGGTGCTTTAAAGGCATGCTAAGCTGGTCTTCCTCATTTGTTTGCTGCATTCGCACGACATTAGTACTAAATTTTCCACATTTAGCAAGCATTTGTGATTATCGACCGATTTCTGAAGTTAGGATAGTAAAGAATCTCAACTGATTATTCTCAAAAACTAGTTTTACTACTAAGTTTGTTAATACTAAGACGTTTTTGGCAAAAAGTCTTAATTTTATCAAACTGCTATCAACTAATCATTAAAAAATATGGTTCGAGACGTGCTTAACTTTAAATTCTCGATTCAGAAACCGGGTATATGTCCTGTTGTTCGTTCTCGAAATGTTTTCCCAGGAGGGCATTTATAGATAGCTGATGGTGATGTTCCGTATCAGGGTTGGCGGCGTTCGAGCACGAGGGCATCCAGAACATCAGCATGCTGAAGGAGCAGCTGGTGGGCGCGGGCCACGAGCAGGCGGCGAGCATCTCCAAGCGGCACGCGGACGTGACCGCGCGCTGGCAGCGCCTGCTGGCCGCCTCGCTGGCGCGCAAGCAGCGCCTGCTGCAGCTGCAGGACCAGTTCCGGCAGATCGAGGAGCTCTACCTCACCTTCGCCAAGAAGGTACACCATATACCTACACCGAACTCACCGTGCTTAGAGTACAATCTTATTTATAAATTATTTTGCTATTTCTATAGCGTATCAGTTGCCAAAATCGTTGCGTATAAAGATACTTTGGTATATCCTTATAAAAAAAGTGAAAATTTCAAGTATAATTCGGAAATACAATTGTACTAAAACTTCGCTTGAAAAACTATTACAGCAGGTCAGTATCAGTACAGAGTTCAGAAAATAATAGAGTTTTCGTTTATGGACTTTTTTATATTTTTATTTTAAAGATAAATAAATATTTCATGTATTATGAATATTATGAAGAAGTATCATTCTAAAATAAATCTAGTTTTCAAAATTTCCGTCGATAACGCCAACATCTGTCATGACGTTGCTATATATAACGTGACGCCCTTCTATGAGTAATAGAGGCGTGATGGCGCTGTTTTTTCGTTTACGTTTTTTCATCTGCACCCGAATTGTAACAGATTTTTATTAGAGATCGTTAATGAAAGCCTTCATAATTCTCAAAAATTTCTATTGTGTAGTTTCAGTGATAAGATATTAATACATATGTATTATTTATTTTAAATAGGCGTCCGCGTTCAACTCGTGGTTCGAAAACGCAGAAGAAGACCTCACGGATCCAGTTCGCTGCAACTCTATCGAGGAGATCCGCGCTCTCAAAGATGCGCACGCACAATTCCAAGTCAGTATCTAGAGCAGTCTTTCGTTCACTAATAACAGTTTTATCATCATCAGTAGTCAATAATGTCCCCACTGCTTGGACTCGGGCGTTATCCATGGCCATAGCCCATCACATGGGCCCAGTGTGGATTTCTGGATATTAACGATTTACGCAGCCAGGACCAAAAATTTAAGGAAAAAGTTTTTTAGACACCATTTCATGACAGACCTTTCTAAAAATTACATAACATCAACAAGACCAAATGCTCATAACGTAACCAAATGTTATCGTATTGAATAATTAAGCACCACATGTTTGATTTATAAATACCAATTTAATATTGTACAGGCGTCGCTGTCATCAGCGCAAAGCGACTTTGAGGCGCTAGCAGCTCTGGACGAACAGATCAAATCTTTCAACGTGGGCGCCAACCCTTACACCTGGTTCACTATGGAGGCACTCGAGGAGACCTGGCGCAATCTGCGCAAGATTATTGGTACGTATAAAAAACTCGATTCTGAATACTTTTAAAGAATTTTACCTAATGATAGCTTTGTGAAAGTATCATAATAATCTTTTGTAGAGCATCCTTTATTTTTTATTATAAAATTATGATATATTGCAGCCGAACGTGATGTCGAACTAACTAAAGAAGCACAGCGTCAAGAAGAAAACGACAAACTGCGTAAGGAGTTCGCCAAGCACGCCAACGCATTCCACCAGTGGCTCACCGAGACACGGTATGTAAAGTTAACTTAATGTCAATCAACTAAAGTTGAAAATTAAACATCCTGAATAAGAAGACACGTGACTTATTTTCTTAGAATGATTTAACTTTTTGTTTTATTATTAATCATTTTTTTTTGTAATAAATCTGCCAATTCTGTCCTCTCAATGTTTTTAAATCAGGTTTGATGGAAGAGCGTTGAAGTCACATCCAAGTGGATCTGTGTTCTAATTAAGTCGTAGCTATTCGTTGCTGCTTCTTTAATTGGGAATATTTAGTTAATGCTGCACACTGATAATTATTATATTTAAATATTATTGAATCTTAGGGGATCCCCAACAGGCTATACTATGCTCCGCAGGGCAGTTTAAGTGTAGCTGTCGTATCAAAAGAATAGATAATATTGTAATGATCTATGATGATTTTGATTGGTGGTAGATTGTTTGATTTGATGGTTGGTGTACAGGTACCGGCTGCTAGGCTGGGACGGGTAATGTACCGAATGTCGCGTGTCGTATCAACTAATAATTGCTTTTGGCTGCATTTAGTGTTACACGAATTAACCTCGTGAGTGCGATTCAATGACTAACAAAAAAAAAATTACCCATGCAGTTTCAAGTCAATACCACTAATAAGATTTTGCACTGTTACAAAAAAAAAACATAACGTCTTAGAAACATGCCTAACTATTTCTATGACTTGAATACATACGTTACCATCTCTCCCTGTTATTTAATAATCTGTTACACATATACAGTAATGAATATTGGTCAGTTCATTGGAGGTCAGTTTGTCCGCGTAGAACTAAACGCAGCCTTTATTTTAATAGCCAGTGTGCTATACTTTTGTCCCATTCGAATTATTGAACATGAATATTGTGGCCCGCACACGTGCTCTGCGTCAACACTTCTTGCAGCTTTAATAAAATTTGCTTTAAGTTTTACACAAATAATGTATTAATATTACTGTAAATAGATTACTGACATGTTGATTCATTTTAATTCTACTAATTTATTTTATTAAATCTATGATTTTTTTTAAATTTGTTGTGATACTGTTATTCAAAGTTGATGTTGTAATGAGGTTATTGATTATGATTGATGAACCAAATGAAAACGTACCCCTAAACTGCTAGATATGAATCTAATTTATCAAATCAGTTGGCTCTCAACATTCCGCTTTTATCTGCTAGCTGAAAAAGTACTACGTACCTAGCTTTACATACTCGAAAAAAGCTTTGTTGACAGATTTTCAGTAAAACATATGCGATTTTTCTAAAACATTTCGAAACTAGGTCAAAACATTTTTTTATTTATGTGTAACAGCAGTAGATTTTCTCATTACCTGTGCAGAAAGTCTAAAACATAATTAGTAAGATTGTCTTAAAATTTTTAAGATTAACATTTCGGAGAAATTGACACCGCTACGTATATTTCGTCTTAAAATGTTTGTTTACCTTTGATAAGTGTACATAGTGATATTAATTATGACAGCAAGTGTGTGGTTACAGTACATCAATGATGGAGGGCACCGGTTCCCTGGAGCAGCAGCTGGCGACTCTACGGGCACGCGCCGGGGAGGTGCGCGCGAGACGTGCCGACCTACGACGACTGGAGGAACTGGGTGCGTCATAAGTCACTGGACATTGTTAATTATATCGGATCGGAGGTATTAACCTCTGAATCTTTGTAACTAAAGAAGCATTAAGGTCTAATTATCAGACATGTAGTAACTACATCTTGTTACAGGGGCGGCGCTGGAGGAGCACCTGATCCTGGACAATCGCTACACGGAGCACAGCACCGTGGGCCTCGCCCAGCAGTGGGATCAGCTCGACCAGCTGTCCATGCGCATGCAGCATAACCTCGAGCAGCAGATACAGGCCCGCAACCACTCCGGTAACGCTTAAATCTTACTACACTACCGCAGCACTCTCGACCATCACAATTTAATTTGTAATCGTAAATGGATTATAATATCATAAATATAATTGAATAATATTCTACAGTTTGAATGCTGTAACTGAATCTAAATAATACTTATCTAAAATCTATCAAACGTATTGCTTAATAATTCTTCATTTATATATTTTGTTCTGACATTACTCAGGTGTAAGCGAGGATGCTCTGAAGGAGTTCTCGATGATGTTCAAGCACTTCGACAAGGACAGGTCTGGACGTCTGAACCACCACGAGTTCAAGTCATGTCTGCGCGCGCTCGGTTACGATCTGCCCATGGTCGAGGAGGGACAGCCTGACCCGGAGTTTGAAGCTATACTCAGTCAGTATAATGTTTGCATTTGTGAAATAATTATTAATTGTCAGTGTTTATTTGTAAACTATCAAATATAACATCACGCTGCTGTCCTTCGTCTATAACGAATCCTCAAATGCTATTACAACCAAATGGATATTTTTTTATGATTCGCTTAATAAGAAATGTGATAATTAATTAATTCAAAACATTACATTGATGGAAGCAATGTCTGCTTGTAATTAGTTTATGTACTCTATATAAATTTAAATAATTATGATCTGTAAACGACAAAAAATAATGTTACAACACCTTACGTTCAATCCAAAACAACCATAATTATATCTGCGATGTCTCGTTATAACCAGTGGTCGGAATTAGGTAGAGTTATTCATGTACTTACACTGATTTCATACAGCGAAAGAGTATAGTGGATATGCCTCAAATCCCGAGATTAATTTTAAAGAGCGGATAAAATCCTGTGATTTTTTAAATAAAAAGTTATTTACTTTTACACAATTTAAACTACTGCACGCACGACGTTGCCAAACTTACACCAATGAAAGAAATAAATAAAGAAAGAAGAAATAAAGAAATCCCGGGAAGGTCCACATTAATATCAACATTTCGATGCAAGTACATAAATAACTCTACCTAATTCCCACCTCTGGTTATAACAATTGTAATATAAACATTATAATTTTACAGACGTGGTGGACCCTAACCGCGACGGGCAGGTGTCGCTGCAGGAGTACATGGCGTTCATGATCAGCAAGGAGACGGAGAACGTGCACTCCTCCGAGGAGATAGAGAACGCCTTCCGCGCCATCACCGCCCACCAGGACCGCGCATACGTCACCAAGGACGAGCTATACGCGGTACGTAACCTTCACTACTGTGGTACACGGGTAATATATGTATTAATATCATCCTAATATCAACACTTAAAATGCTATAATTTATCCTGAACATGAAACAATTTCATGTTTGAACAGTTGTCACTTCTTTAGACATTCAGATCGATCAATGTAGGTATTTTGAGTGGATCTCGAAATGTTGGAAGATGTATTGATTGTAATCAGAGCTCAACGATATACATCTTTTTCTCTAAAACAATCTCAATATTTGAATTTGGTTCGAAGTCTTTAAGCCCAGTTAACTTTAACGACCATTACTGTAGATTATTTTTGCCATCCCGAGTTGCGCTTTACAGTCGTTATTATCGAAGTGCCCCATTTAATTTTATTTGGAAGTAGTTAATTACTATTACACATGGCATATTATCTAATAATATATATTATCTACAGAATCTAACGAAGGAGATGGCGGACTACTGCGTGGCGCGCATGAAACCTTACGTAGAACCGAAGACGGAGCGTCCCATACCCAACGCGCTCGACTACATCGACTTTACGCGCACTCTGTTCCAGAATTAAATCATAAGCACAATCGCGCGCTGTGTACTACCGCCCTAACGCAATTAAACTAAAACAAAACACTCAAGTCTTTCAATTCGTTTCTCGTCTCAACCTCTCTCTTCATTCACTGTAAACTAATATGCGCAAGCATACTTATGCTATTGCCTTGTAATGACTTATAGAGATCTCCGTTACATTAATGTCCTTCGTACTTTGACAAAGAAGGGAGTGTTCACACATGCCGCGCGAGGAATTAGCATTTGCTTATTTCAATGCTTTCGCGTTTGCTTCTTTCTGCACATTTTCCAATTTTATTATTGATTGACTGAAACTTGAATAAATATCGCATTTTACTTTATAGTTTTAAGCTGTGCTGTTTGCTGTCGAATGGCGCTAGTTGCGACTTCAATATAGAAGCGTAACAGCCTCCTTTTTAATTGTTCGAATTTCACTACATTTTGTAGTCAGACCCTGATTTACGTATGTAAGTGTACAGAAGGGTTAGAATTCCTTTTCTCTGAATACAGCAGAGAGATAAGAAGCTCCCTTAATTTAATGCTTTTAAAGCGATTCACTGTTTCACAATTCAAATTCTATTTGCATTTCAACACTTTTTGTGCTTGATAAAAGTAAAAGAATTTATGGTATGTTAACTTGTAACAATCGATAGATAATTTTAAAAACAAAATTAAAGTTTATAACTTAAAATTCTATTTATTTTTTGTATACCTATTTATGATTGCAATAAAGTATTTATTCCTATTTGGTGTTTAAATTAAAACTCATATTGATTATTCATAACCAATTATTTATAGCTTCATTACAATATATTTATTTATTTAGATGTACGGATGTTACCAAAATATATGTTAAGCCTGACACGTTTTCGACTAAACACAAATTCATGTGATGGGCTTAGTTGTTACTATAGTAGTTACTAAAAAGAAACATTCAAGATTAACAAGAATATCTATATATTCTCTACCTACATTATAATAGATTGACATTGCAGACTTAACAGGTATTTTCGTACAGTTTTATATTTTAAGTTACATATTTGTTAATTTACATTAATTTATTATTTCTATTTACACTGTCACTTTTAATTTTGTGATAAAAGTTAATCTAAAATATTCAATATTTATTTTTCATAGAACCAATTCATGTCTCACTATTTACTTACACAAAGTTGGAATTCAGATTGACGGCCGATTTCTGAATTGAGAAAAGCATAAATCTCAACTGATTATTCTTAGTAACTTAAGTTTTTTATGTTTCATTTGGCAACAAGTCCTAGTTTTATCAAATCAACTCATAACAAAAATATAAATCAGTAATGAAAACCTGTTTAATTGAAGTTTAAAATGGCTTAAGCATGATTTGAGACGTGCTCAACTTCCAATTCTCAATACCGAAACCGGGTGTTAGTATATCATTAAAATACAACCAATATTATTATAAGTCATCATAGTACGGTCGCCGAACAGACATATGTTGACCTTTATGGCTACTGATGGGTATCGTGAACGTGTTAGTTTTCCTTTATTATGACAAAATTCGGTAGATGCATCTGTGCGAGCGCAATAGCGATATGTTGGCGCAAGTGTGAAAGAGATATCATGCTGTTGTTGTTTCTGTTTGACGACCGTGCTATACAAATTAATACTCTTCGAAAGTAAAAACAAAAGTATTATACTATTTAGTCGGTCAATAATTCATAAATATTTTTTTATAATCTATTTCTACAATATGTTCATTAGTTACTGCTATTCTACACGGATATTTACAATTTATAAATATTACTGCCTCGTACGTTTTACGTACGCGATAGAAACGCTCGATTGCCTTCTTCAGTCTTGTGCGCGAATCATCGCTGGCAAACCAACACCTCCAGGGTTTCAAACCTAATACAACAAGACAAATATTAAGTATTTTAAAATTGCAGGCGTTATAGAATTCTGGCAGTGCCACTCTCATCGATTTTGAAATAATCTTGATTCATCAGGCCCCTTTTTATCAGAAATAGGGACAAACTACGTAACTAAGCAATTACGTAGTATCAGAGATAAACAAGACTTAGTTAGACTTAGCCGCTGGACTGACATCAGTCTGGTAGAGCGACAGCTAGAACTCCGTAGTTATAATGAATCCTAAAAAACGTCCCCGTTCATCATTTAACCCCATATTTATCAAACTGGGGCATAGCGGCGATATATTCAAATTCAATATCATTTATTAATACTAATTTTCGACTTTCACACGACTAAGTAAATACTGAAATAATTAAGAAATGATGTAGAACTGTTAGGCTAAAGTCTATTCAGCAGCGCCACAATCTATCTTGTAAACTATAGCATTTAAAGAAGCCCACTCTTCATTTAGCATGAATATATGGCACATCGAAACTTTAATATTGATCATTTTAGGGTACCAGGAAGTGGAATTACAGTCTCGGTAACTATAAAGTATTATAACACTCTACTTTCTTTTTATGACAAAATACCGTTACCGTTACAGTACTAGCTTTCCACCAGCGGCTTCGCCCACGTGGTCTTGTATAAAAACCTTCCTTTTGAATCGTCCTATCTATGAAAAAAAAATCGCATCAAAATCCGTTGCGTAGTTTTAAAGATTTAAGCACAATAGGGATTAAGAATATAGGGACAGAGAAAGCGACGGAAGGCGAAGAATTTTTTTATACTTTGGAGTGATAAAAAAACTAGTCTGAATAATTATGGGTCATAGTCAAACATGCAACGCCTGTCGATTCGAAAGTGCGTTGTCTATGATATTGCGGTGTGGAAACTCACACAGCGACTATATCTGCGCGCGCTGCAGCAGCTGGTAGTCGTGCGCGGGCAGCAGCGGGCGCAGCTTGTGCAGCAGCGCGGGCGGCAGCGGCTGGCGCGCGGGCCGCAGGTACGGCAGCGCCAGCAGCTCGCTCACCGACGGCCGCGCGCGCGCGTTGTACGTCAGGCACCACTGCAGCGCCGACAGCAGCGCCGGCGGGAGGTCTGATACGGACAATATAAGGATATCAATATAAGGACTATATCGCATACGATAATAGCGCACCCGCTGGATAAACTAGACTAGATTTAATAAATAATCAAGTTAAAGAAATAAACTTTTGTTAATGCTACTGAAGCTTTGTAACCGACGTCGTAAGAAAGTTAAGTTTTAGTTCTTCCAGCTAATTTCTATATTAATGTTTCAAAATTATTGTAGATATTATGTGAACATTGTAACAAAGTAGTATTTATGTATTTCTCAAGATGATTCTATCTATAAATAAAATTGCTCACAATGAATAAAGCATTTTTTCGTTTTCATATTTATTTGACCAGCAAAGACGAAAGATCGAGACTAAGAAAAGACTTTTAGTTTATTTTGTATAGAAAATTATATAATACTAACGCTCGACGGGCGGATAATCGATCTTGTGGTTGGGGTCGAGTATGGCGGCAAGCTTGGCGAGGTTCGGAATGTGACCGAACGGAGTGCGCCCGTACACCATACTGTACAGGATGCAGCCCAGCGACCACACGTCCGAACGGAACGAAATCTAAAAATTCCATAACATTATATACCTACAGCCTGTACACAAAGGGAAAACAAAATCACAGCTGTCTATCACGCCACGAAGTCAAATCTTGGTAAATATAGGCAGAATGATAGCTACTGATTACATCTATTAAATAAATCAATACGGAAGCAAAGAATGGAGTAGATTTTTGTTTGTACGAAAACGTACTTATGCTCTACCTGCACACTAATGAGTAGAATCAGCAAAAATCTTATATCATCATATTATGTCACACATCTGTTAAATATGCCATCAGCACTACTCATTTATATTAATTCCTCAAAACCCCTGAAGTCTGTTTTGTGTACCTAAGTCACATGATATATCATCAGCCCCTTTTACGTCCCCGCTGCAGGGCTCAGGCCTTCCTTATGGATGGTTAAGGAGGATGGGCCATGACCCTCCACGCTGGCCCAATGCGGATTGGAGGGTATTAACGACTGCAAATGCAGCATAGACCAACGGCTTAACGTGCCTTCCGAAGCACAGAGTAGCTCGAGATAATAATTATTTGGTCACCCATCTCGTGACCGACCCTTGCGAAAGTTGCTTAACGACAACGATCGCGGGCCGCGGCGCTTATCCACTACGCCACCGAGCTACTCGATATATATAAGAGATCAGTTGATACTGTTGACTGTTGATCAAATCGTACCTTGATAGGTGCGTTGCCATCAGCGGCGGAGACGCCATACCCGCCGGCACCGCCCATGAGCGCCTCGGGGCTGATGTAAGAGTACGTGCCGGTGGCCTGCGACCGCACCACGCTTGTCGCGTCGCTGCTGATGCTCGACGCGATACCGAAGTCGATCAGCTTCAGCCGCCCACACACCAGCAGAAAGTTGGCTGGCTTCAAATCCGCATGAATCACTCCTGCCCACATGGATGGAGGGACACTTTAAGCAATACTTTAAGAGTAGCTCTTTTTATATAAATAATATAAAGTTAAAAGGATTTATATAAACAGATTAAGAATCATAACTAGAGATGACAAAAAAGACTAACTGAACAAACATATTCAGTAATTGCTAGAAGTTTGTTTTGAGCCATCACCCATCAGGTATTCCAGCGCCTGATCTTCAAACTGGGTACTGAGTGATGTTTACTCTTAGTACTTCTACATACTAAAATAGCTAGCGCCTTAGAAAGCTCTTCCACATTTTTGTCACAAGCTCTTTAGACTATGACATTAACATTGGTAGATGGATTGTCAAAAGGTTATGGTAATAGATTATGAACAATCCATTACCATGTTGATGTATGTAGTGGACGGCGTGCAGCATCTCCTCCCAGTAGTGCAGCACGAGCGCAGGCGGTAGGCCGGCGCCGCGTGCGCGCAGGAACGACGACAGGTCTGTCTCTCCCACCTCCAGCACCAGACGCAGGAATTGGTTAGCGCGATCATACTCACTGTATATACATATAGATGCAT